CTGCCCTGTGTTGCTCAACTGGCAGTCATCCTGGCCTCAGGAAGCCTGGCATTGAAGGTCAATGCCTGTTAACGTGGCCAAAGAGACCTTTAATATTTGCAGAATCTATGCCAAACAAGTATACAACATCCTGTGACAGGGCAGAGAAGTCTTTGGAGAGATTGTAGAGGTCATTTTGTACCAATTCTCTCCGTTAGAGAAATAGGGTTTTTGTCATCTTTCCTTGATTCCAAGATGCATGTTTTTGGATCTCAGAAATGAGGAGGCATCTCCCAGTCAACAATGTCATATCATTGCTGTGGCCCTGGAGTAGAGGCAGATGCTCCCAGAGAGGATTGCATTGGCTGGTCATGTGGGGCCACCCAGCCTCAGACTGCTGGCCATGACATTCCATACTTGAAGTTCTTCAATATCACACAGCTTGTGGCAAAGAGGAACCCTGCATGAGGACTAGCAGCCTGGGCCTCCCATTCTCAGGAGGATTTTCCATCCCCACATATTGTCCAGAATGAGTTGTATTTTTTTTTTTTTTTTTTTTGCTCTCTCTTCCTTCATAGCAGCCCTAGATCTCATTTACCCTATCATTATTTTATCACAACTTTATGTGTCTAATGTCTCCCATTAGGCTTCCCATGTTGGGCATTTTTATTTTTTAATGGTACATAAAACAATGATAATATCTTATAATCATGGTTTCTTAGCCAGGCACATTAGTGTATACCTATAATCCCAGTGGCTCAGGAGGCTGAGCAGGAGGATCACAAGTTCAAAGCCTGCCTCAGCAGTGAAGCCCTGAGTAATTCATCAAGACCCTGTCTCTAAATAAAATATAAAAAAGGGCTAGAGATGTGGCTCAGTGGTTAAGCACCCCTGGGTTCAATCCCTGGTACAAAATAATAATAATAATTATGAAAATTATAATTATTATTTCTTATATTTGATGAAAAATTCTGTTTCAAGTATTATATGTGATATTTGAAATAATTCAGCTTGCTAAAAGAAAAGAAGATAGGATTTTGAAGAAATGATTTCCTGACATCAAAATATGTGTTGTCCTAACTCACTTCCTATCTGAGTGTTTCCCCTCTAACACCAGCCCAGGAATTGTCAGTGGCTTCCCATGACTCCAGGGACAAAGGCAGAGCTTTTTTTATTTTGAGACAGGATCTTGCTGATTTGCTTAGGGCCTCACGAAATTGTTGAGGCTGGTGTTTTGAACTTGTGATTCTCCTGTCTCGGCCTCACAAATTGCTGGGACTACAGGCATGTGCCACCGTGCCTAGCAAGGCAGAGTTCTTTAATGTGGCCAAGGACCTCTTGGTCCTGCCTCCTCCCCAGCCATGTAGACATTCCTGTTCTCCCCTCTAGCTTTCTTACTGTCCTGGCACTTCCAGTCTTCCATGCCCTACTCATTACAGAGCCCTGACATGATGGCCCTGTTGGAAACACTTCTCTCCCTCGTTTGCTTAGCTGGTCTCAGTTCCAGCATCCCTGCTTTTGGGACAGACACCTCCTCTGACCAGATCAAAGGCCCCACCATAGGTTCTTGCATTGAGGAATGCTTCCCTTTCTTAGCATGTGTCCCAGCCATGGTTCTACGTTTTAATGATTCTTGGTTAATGTTGGAATCCTTCAGAGGACAGAGAACTCCACGAGGCAAGAGACAGGCCTGTTTTTTACTCAACCGTGTATCACCAGTCAAGCCATGTGTCTGGAAGTTAGTAGATGCCTGAAAGTTATTTTTTGAATGGACAGATGAATCCGGATATCATCTGCCTCCACCTGCAGACAGTAAACTTCTAGAGACTGGGGCATTTTTTGAAGAAGCAGAAAGAGCCACAGATTGCCATCAGAAGGCCCCTATTTTGTCATTAATGAAGTGACCTGGAGAAAATCACATCCTCTGTTTCCTCATCTCTAAACCGGGGATAATATCCAATCCAAATGACAGGGTGTTTTGTGAAGCCATGAAGGCACTTTGAAACTCTTTAATTGGTCTGCTCCCCAACCCAAAACTTCAAGCAGTGCCGTGTCCATCTCCCTGTACTGACTGTATGATTTTATGATTACATTGACTGCCTCCTCCTTTGGGGAAAAGGGGATGAGATCATATAATCCTCAAGAGGATTCACATACTCCTCAAGGAGTCACTGAGCTTTGTGCTTCCCAGTCTTCCTGTCCATCCTCTTCAAAAATTCTGATGGAGTCTAGTAGACTGTCAAGGCCCAATGGCTTAGTACATAGGAAAGGAAGCTCTTGGTTGAGCCCCTTTTGGTTCTCATTATCAATGCACAGTTGGGGCACTTAGCCATAAGTTGGGGGAAAGAGTGGAGAAGGGGGAGATGCTCCTCTTCCCTCCTGCTCTGTAGGTTGGTCTTCAGACCTGGACAGGGCTGGGTAGGAACAGTGACTACACCGTCTGGGACATGGCTCCTGGGACAATTGTGTACAAGTGTATGCATTCCACCCACACCTGGAAAAATACATGAAGTTGCTTGCTTGGCCTCTGGGATCTGAACTTTAATATTAAGGTGGATATTTACAACTAAGCCTCACTACTTCCTCCCATATGCTTCATCTTGGAGATGGGCACCTGGGTTCCTGTTTCATTGGCATCAACTGGCTATGAATGATCCTACACCATCCTCCCTCTCAGTTTCCTCATCAATTACATGGAAATCATATCATCTCCTACTTTCCCATCTCAAAAAGTTCTTTAAGGATCAAGTGAGGTCACAGACATAAGGGCTCCTGCCTCAGAGCCTCAAAAGTCAGTTCAAACAAAAGGTAGTATTATTTTCTCTGTGCATTTTAAATTCTTGCTTCTGTAGCAGGAAAGCATTATGCTGACTTAGTTATCCTTAGTTAACTCAAATATCACTCAAGATCTGCAATCATAAGGCATGTAGGTGGGAAGAGAGAGGTGAACAAACCCATCACCACAAATCCATTCTCAAGCATCTCCCCAAGGAGTGCTGTACTCCCTGTGGAAAAGGGTATGGTGAGGGGAATTTGTTCTCTAATTGTTTTAACAGCTTGGCTGCTCTGCCATCGCTCTCTGAGAAATCCAGGTTGGTGAGAGGAGGTGTGGAATTAATAATTAACCAGCACCTCGGCAACTGTCAATTCTCTGGAGAGGGGTGGAAAGCTGCCCTACAGATATACTCCCTACAGGATGATTCTAGCTGGAAGCGGAGGCAGGGGAATGGGAAAGTGCTTTATTGACTGGATTCTAGTGCTCAGAGCTTCAGGCTGGCGAGGACTTCCTGTGTGTGTGGTCTGCTGAGCAGCTCCGATAGGGATTCACTGGCATCCTGGTGGAACATGGCTCCCAGGCCATCTGTGTCCCCACTCTCTAACTGGAAGCTGCCCATCATTTCCTGTATCCACTGTAGGTCGGCTGAGAGCTCCTGCCTCAGAGCCTCAAACTGTGTCTGCAGATGGTCCAGTTTCCTGGCCACACCTCCAATGCTAGCCCCTGTGGCCTGGATGTCTTCTCGCAGGAGCTTCTTCAAGGACTCCAACTTGCGGAACTCATACCTGAGCTGGGACAGATTGTGCCGGGCACTCTCGTTCTCTTCTCGGTACCAAGTCTCCTTCTCATTGTAGATGGAGACCAGGGTTTCCACATCATCCTGGAGAGTGTCACGGGCCCCCACTAAGGCACGATATCCCTGGTCCACCCCAGCCATATCTTCTACCACATGGGCGAAACGCTCAAAGTTGACATAAGTGTTGTTGGGGGGCATGCTTGAGTGGCATTTGAGGGTATACTCTCTCAGACGCTTGGTCTTCAGCTCAATGGGTTGTGTCTTCCGCTGCTCAGGAGCTCTGACTTCTCCCTTCGACTGGCAGTTGTTCAGACAGAAGAACCACAATGTTAACATAATGCATGCTCCAAAGGGCAATCCAAGCTGCAGGTGGAAGGCACACACGGTGGTCTCTTTGGCATTCACTGCATGCGTCAGGACACAGGGAGAGCCCGGGTGGAGTGAGCAACCCCTCAGTCCATAAGAAAGGTCAAAGGGTATGGGAATGCTCCCTGCATGCTCCCTTCAGGGCGGAGGGGTCCACAGCCATTAGCGGGTTTCCACACGCACAGCATTTAAAGGGGCTCAGGCAGAAAAGCGGGCTGCGGTCAGGATTCTGCAGACATCCACTCCAGGGCTGGAGCAGGCAAGGCCATGGCTGGCAGAGGGAGGCAGAGGGAGGCAGAGGGTGTCTCTCTTTTGGGGTTCTTTGCATATTGGCAAAACTGAGCATGCTCAGCAAGAGGACCCTTGATCTTCCCCATCCTTCAACAAGCAGATGAACCTGATCCCCCTGATCACTCCAACCCTCTCTACTCCCCATCATCTATAGGCCTCTACCCTTCTTGTCTGCACGCTCAGATCATTCCTGTAAGCCTTCTTTTTTAACAATGAAGGTGAATAAGAAGTCTTGGAAGTTCACAGCTAGTCAGTCAACAGAGTACTGGTCTATGAGTCCCTCTTTCCCCAAAAGCTTTTCACTATACCAGACTGTGAGACCCTCTGAAAAACCAGCAGTTGGAGCTTGGTTACAAGGCAAGTTAGGGAGAGATTGACCTTTCCCCCTGGCCCTTCCCAAAGGGAGCAGAACTCCCCTAACAGGATGGCAGTCTCTCTTCCTACCAGGTTTCTGTCTCAGAGGCTAATTCCTGAGGTCTCATGGTGCCTGTGGAAAGCAGCTAACTGATATAAAGCATATCCTTTGAGCCCCAAATGTCAGAGAAGAAGGTTACAAAGTCAGGGTTTCATTCTATAAGCTGTTTGAACCCATGAAATACAAACTTCATTTAGCATAACCCTATTTGAAAATGGTCAGGCCCCTTGGGGCCCATGACAAGCTGTCTTCTGTGCCCAAGGATTGGTGTTTCCAGCAAAAGGCTCTCCACAGGCCTTCTGCATCTGGCTGCCACAGCCAGCCCTGGTGACAGAGCAAAGACCCCTGCTCACTGGAACTCACCACCGTGCCCTTACCGTGATCCAGGGATGCCTGAGAGCCTCTTGGATGGTGAGCCGTTTCCTGAAATGAGGATTAGGAAACAGTGATGATCCTTTAGGGCAGAATCTGGGAGCAGCAGTCTCCATTCTCACACTCTTTTGGCATTCTTTGGCCATGCCATCATAATGGAAGACGCAGAGATTGATGGGAACTGCCTGCATGCCCCATGCTCCCAGGAAAGAGGTTTGGGCAGAACCCAAACAGAGAGACCTTTCTACCTGAACCCTTACCTTCAGTTCCAAAGTTAAAAGGCCTAACACCACCCTCTAGGGGAGTCATTAAATGCACTACTGAGTTTCCAGAATCCTCCAAAAGCCAGCTCTCCATTGCTAAACCTTTGGTCTTTATTTGCCTCCCAGGTCCCTCCTTTGTCCTTCGCTGTTCTGTTCCCAGGTAGGGGGGCCCTCCCTAGTACTGATCTTAGTACCTAGTACCACTCTGGCCCTCTTTGAAGTCTGTGGGACCAAAAGGACATAATTTTCTAGCATTGGTGGCCCTTTTCCCCTGCTCCATCCAGGCCCTCCCCTGGGTACCAGCACCCTACATTCCCTGCCCATGTCCTCCTTTGACCCCACAGGTATGGGGCTCATTCTGGGCTCTGAGGCAGGAGTAGGATTAGTGTGTCTCCTCTCTTTCCACTGTACTGACCTCTCCGGGCCTGCCTCCTCCACTCCCACCTGAACTGGCTTGAAAACCCTGCTACTTTATTTCTCTAATTGAGTGCCTTTGGGACAGACTATACGAGGTAATGAGTCTTAAAAAACAAAGACTGATTTACACATACACATACACACACATTTTCACATATACACACAGTTATTGGCATTTCAGTAGAAGAAAGCAGAAAGACTTGAGCAAACAAGGTGAATGTCAAGTCTTGGCCAGTCATGTTTCTTAGCACCTGCTCAGATTAGACCACAATGGTGCAGGTGACGCTGTGGCAAAGCAAAGACAGACTGACATCTTTGACTGTGGTAAAAGGAGAGGATTAGTACCTGAGAAACCAGTGCCTTTCTTTTTTTCTTACCGGGTCTCTTTAACCAGAAGCTTCCGAATGAAGTCCTTGGCCAATTCGCTAGTCTGGCTGAAGAATTCCTCATCGAAGTCATAACTCACTGCTGTGATATTTGCCAGTGTTTCCTGCTTTGTGTCTCCCAGAAAAGGGGATGCTCCACTGAGGCTGCATACAACAGAGAAGGAACCACATGACTGCGGGTTTGGAGATGGAAATGGACTCAGGAAACTTGACCCATGCTATAGCACAAGGCTGGGAGGCTCCTGGCAACACAGCCTGCCCTCTCTGGGCAGCCAACCCACAGCTTTTTCAATGCAGTCCAATTCAACACATTTTATGGAACTCCTAGTAAGTACTTTACAGAGGACAAACTGTGTCTTAGTGGACACAAAAGTTGAGAGGAGAAAAAAGAAAAAACAGACATAGCTCTTCATAAACCCCAGCAGAACAAAGCAGAAAATTATTGAAAGCCAGATAAAAGATTGTGGGAGCACCAAAAAAAAGGGGGGGCCCCAGTGCAATTCCATGGGAGAGTTGACAATTGCACTGTCATGTCTTGAAGAATTGACAGCAGTCGGAGGAGGAGATGAAAAGCTCTTTCAGGCCAAGGGAACAACTTGAGCAAATCCTAAGAGGCATGGAGACTGGGGTCTGTGGGGTCCCCACAGGGTTGTTCAAGGCTGCATCAGACAAACAGTGACTTCTGAAGCTACCATCTCTTGACATGCATTTCAGTTGCTCATGGGACACGTCGGCCCAGATGTGCCATTTTCCCAGGACTCACTGTGCCAAACCCCCCTCCATGTGCTCCTTGCTTTGATCAATGACATCGCTTCACAAATGTGAAGTGATGCTTGTTAGAAACACAGCAGTCACCTTGGTCTCTTTTAAGTCCCTCCTTACTTGATTGGCGAAAAGTCTTATTGTTTCTGTTTACTAAACAAACCTTGAATATTTACCCCTCTCCCCCTGCTTCTTTCTTTGCATGGAAGTAGCAAGGTATACTGGAAAACTTTGGATATTTTATTTTTACACCATGATAAAGTGACATTTATTCCAAATATGCCAGGGATGTTTAAGACTCAAAATGCAATTAAGTAATCCATTAAAACAATAAACTAAAAAAAAAAAAAAACAGGGATCATTTCAAATTATGCAAAAATACTATACAAAATCCAGTAAATCCAGTGTTACCAGTGTTATTCATGATAAAAAATAATTATCAGAAAATAGTAATAGAGGAATACTCAATTGATAAGAATGATAAAGAATTTATCAATTGAAAAATCCTCAATTGACAAAGAATATTACATTATGTATATAACATATTTATATAATTATAAATAGATCGATGATTTCCCCATACAATTGGAAGTAAGGCAGGAATGTTCCCTTTCATTACTGGTATTCAATCTAGTACTACAGATATTAGACAATAAAACAATGAGACAAGAAAAGAATAGAAAATATACATAGATTTAGGAGCAAGAAATAACTTTTTGTATTTTTGGCTATTTCAATGCTGGGTTTGAATTTCAGCTGTGCTAAGCATTAGCTGTGTGAACCATGGTAAGTTCTTTAACTTCTCTGAGCTTTAGTTTCCTGATTTGTAAAATGAAGAAAATGGCAGCCTCTATCTCACATAATTGACATGAAGAAGTGACCTTGGTCACTGTGGGTGAGAGGTAGCTGTATGGTGTGCTTCCCTCAGACAGAGAGCCCCAGGCAAGAAAGGAAGGCTCTCCTTCACGTCCATGTCCTGTTGCCTGGCACAATGCCCATGATGGCGCCAGCCAATGATAAAGCTGTGTTGAATTCAAGTGAGCCAACCGTGTGCCCTGCAGATGCTGGAATTCCTTAATTGTTCAGTATGAGAACTGGAGTTTTGGAGAAACTCAGATTTCAAGAGACGACGTTTGAATATCCTGGCTGTCATCCAGTATTACAGATCAACGCAAAGTGATGCTCAGCCTCTCTTTCCATCAAAGCCCTCTCTATCAAATTCAAGTGGGTTTTAAAAAATTTACTGATGCAGAGGTCCTACCCCTAGCAATTTTAATTTATATAGATCTGGGGTGAGCCTGGGCCATGGTAGGTATTGAAAACTTGACAGTGCAGCCAGGGTTGAGACCCTCTGCTGCAGCTCGGGGGAATCCACTGTTATTGTGCAGAGCTCTCAGTCTAAGGGCTGCTGTGAGTCAGAAAGCTGGTTTATGGGGGCGTAGAGAGAATGATCCCTCAGTCCTGGAACATTGGTACCACCCTGTTCCCTCTGGCTATGGGCTGACTCTCACTGCAGTGGGCCATAAAAATAGCATTTTCCAGGTATGCTGTGAGGGGAAGATGATTGGGTAGCACTGATGGACTGAATACCTAAGTACCTGCCAAGCATGCACCAGAGCAGGGACTAGGGAATTGGCACATGTTGGCTTATTTAACCACTACATTCCCATGGCAGGGGAGGCCTGGCACTCCACACAGGAATGCAGACATGGCCTGTGCAGGAGGGAGGGCTGCTCCCCGGGCTTCCTGCTCAAACTCAATGCCAGGGTTAAATGTATGAAACACCTCAGAGCACTCAGTCTCAGGTCTGCTCTGTGGACTTAACATATCTGGCTCTTGGTAGATGGATGCTCAGTACATCTTTCTACCTGCCCCTCTCTCATTCCTCTTAGGACCCCACAGTCTATGCTGGGTTGGAACCCCAGAATCAGGGATACTCACAGGATGTAGGTGATAACACCGATGCTCCTGCAAAACAGAAAACAGTCAAGTAAGGACCTCCTGCCTCCAACTCAGACCAGCAAGGGACTCCCCATGTGGTCCCAGGAGAAGAGGTCACTTGCCTCCTCCAGGCATCCCGAAACCCCTCTCCATCCCACTCTTCAGCAGCAGCCTGGGATGCATTTAGAGTGACTGAGCTCAGCACACGGAGATCAAAGACCCAAGTTCAAGATCTGATCTCTGCACTTGCAGGTTCTGTGATTTGGGCACATCTCTCACCACCTCTGAGACCCTTTTTTCTTATATTAGGAAGATAATGAGAACTATCTCACAGGACTGCAGGCAGGATTTTAAAAGGCCAAGTGCTCAGCCTACTGTCCAGCAGCATTCAAATGAAAGAGTCCTGCATGTGCAGAGGACTGACAGCAGCAGCACCCCTAGGCCAACACAGTGCCCAGGATGAGGGAGGCACTTGTTATACACTTGGTGGACTGCCCAAATGAGCCACTGTTACTGTTATCCTGACCATGGCCGTGGCAGTCCAGGGCTAAGCTACACTCCGGCCCTGCCCCTCCCCTTGCTTCTCTGCAGCTGACCGAGCCATGACCTGGCCATGCACTAACTGGCCTCAGGACCTGGCTTTGCTGCTTCCAGCAGCAGCAGAACACCTGGAGCAGCCTGAGGCTCTAAGAGGTGAATGTGGAGAAGAGAGTTCTCACAGTCAAGGGAATGACACCCAAAGCAGGTTCTGAGGACTTCTGCCCTTGGAAGGATCCCTAGGCCACCTGAGTGACCTGTACAACTTACCACATGTCAGCCTCGAGCCCCAGGGGCTCATAGTTCACGATTTCTGGAGCTGAAAGAAGTCAAGAGGAGAAATAAATGAGAGGAGATAGTTGTAGGGAATTCTAGGGAATCTGCTGCCAAATGTCTTCATCCTAACTCTTAGGAAAATCTGAACAGCAGATGGAAATAATCTGTATCTAAGAATTTTAGGAAAAAAGTATGGCCCAAATATTTGTGTCCCCCCAAAGGTCACATGTTGAAATCTAATCCCTGGTGCAAGTATATAAAAGAGGTGGGGCCCCTGGGAGGTGAGGAGGTCATGGAAGCAGGACCCCCATGAATGGAACTAGTGCCCTTTCAAAGAAACCTGAGGGAGCTTGTTCAGTCCTTCTGCTATGAGGGGACACAGCAAGACACTAAGTCTGCTGGCACCTTGATCTTAGACTTCCCGGACTCCAGGACTATGACTGCTAAATTTCTGTTGTTTATAAATTACCAAGTCTAAGGCATTTCTTAATAGCATCTCAGACAGACTATGTCACAAGGTACCTGTTATTCTGGTAGAAACCTTCTATAGGCAGGCCTTAATAGTGAAGGAGAGGGAAAGCATGTAAAGAAAGCCTGAAAAGGAGAAGGAACAAGGGGAGAGGAAGGAGAAATGGAGCCCTGCTATAGAACTCTCTAGTGGACACCAGTCAGTGCTGGAAGGAAATGGGGAAGAAAAGAAGGCAGAGAGGACTCCACCTTTCCCTGAGTCTGGGCAAAAAGAAAGGACATCCCACTGAGGGCATCCTTGTGGTCACTAAAATGAGATGCTGAGCCTGAGGTGCCTGAGGGGCAGCCAGGGAAGATGTCCAGGGGGCAGATGGCTATGGAGGAGGAGGTCTGGGCCATCACATCTGGAGTCTTTGAAGTACATGAAGAAACAAGAGCTGAGCCAATGTTGTGGTGACAGTGTAGAGTAGGAGAGAAGACTGCCAGGAGAGGAGTGGACCACAGGCAGCCTGGAGATGGAGCAGATAAGCACTGGAGAGTGAGTGCTGAGCTGCAAGTTCACAGCACCCAGTGTCTCCAGAAGGTAGGAAGAGGAGATAGAGCATTGATGATTCTTTAAAAGGTTGGCAATGAGTGGAGGCAAAAGAGAAGGCAGTACCTTGAGGAGGAGGAAGGACAGAGGCAGAGTGGAAAAAGCTAAATCTATCTAGAAAATATCTTAAAGCATCCCATCTACAGGGTTATGTCTGCCCTCCCACTCTCCTACTGCCCCTGTTTTGAGATAATCACTATCCTGGCTTTGCTTATTTTTAGCTTTATAAAAATGGTGTCATGCTGCATGTGATCTGTTGTCATTTGATTGCCTTTTACATGCTTCTACTACTCATTGCACATTCATCCACCTCTTCCATTCTCACTACTATGCAATAAACCATTGTGTAACTATGTATCACTTTTCAGTCATTCTCCTCTTAGAGACCATTTGGATGGTTTCCATTACTTTCATTATCGGAACAATATTGATGAAAACGTTTTTTGTTCCCGGCTCTGTTGGGGTAAGTATGTGAAAAACTTTCTTAGGACCATGGTCTTCACCATGGGATCCACAAAGAATCTGCAGACAGGTCCAAGAAGATAGGTGCAGAAATTGGAAGTATGCATTTAGAGACTCTTACAGCAATTTGACATTGCTTTGACATCCAAACTATGATCATTTTTGAGTAGCTGATTTTTATGGTCTCTTCCTAAAGTAAAGTCCAGGACAGACAGTGACACATGACTATATATGGAATTTCTTAAAGTTCTCTGATTTTTTCAAAAATTTGCTTGATCATTTTTGACACCTCGTGTTCCTTACTCATTCTTGTGGTTCCACCTTTTATTTCTGTATACATTCCACTTATTTCATAGTCATCATCTGGTAATTTCAGTTATCTTTTGTCCTTGAACATCTATACCTTGCTAGCCTTTGATTGCATTGTTGACATGTACATTTGCCTTCAAGGGAGGTCAGAAGAAAAGAAAATTCCTGTTGAATTTTCTTGCTGCTTGAATCTCAGCTCTTAAGTTCAATTCATTGGGGGTGGGTCATGCTGAAGGGCTTACAACTCTCTTATTTCCTATAAATTGTATTCAAAAGAAAATGTCTCCCATGGATCCAGTCATGTACTTAGAGGGCCTTTTTAACACCTGATTCCCCCAAACTACTGGCAGTTGTTCCTGATTTTGTAGACTTTTTATTCCTGGGTCTTAGGCTGAAATTTCAAATGGGTGGTGGGTGCAAGGCAAAGTGTTTATAACCTGTTTCTCAGGAGTCTTGAGAAAATAAAGTCACCCTATTTCAGGGAAGGGCCTAGAAAAGTCCCCCTATAAATCTATAAGATACAAATAAACCCATCACAAACAAAACCATACTGGTGTAAGAAATAACTGTGTGCATCTCCTCGGACTCTGTATTCAATGACATGCTGGTAGCTTGAAATTGGCTAATGTTATAAGTTAGAGACTCATTTTTGAGATTTGGTTGTTAGACATTTGCATACCACTGGGCAAAAACCTCCAAAGTCTGGCTCCAGCTACCAATAGCCCACTCACACCAACAATCTGGTATGAATAATCAACTCTATGCAGAGTGGACTTTGACCTGTCCCTAATTAAAGCACTTATTTTAGTCTTTCCCCCCTGCTATGCTACCACTGAACTGGCTGTGCTCCTTCTCCTCTATTCTGGCTCTCTTTTCCAACTACTTCAGATTTCTCCCCACCCCCAACCATCGTTTTTTGCCCCTCACTGACTCAAGACCATGATCAATCCCATTGACTGTGCCAGAGTGGATATCTTCTCTGAATAGTCTTCCAGAGCTATCTACATTACTTACTTTACAATTAATCACATCCTGGCTTCCATTATGGCCCTGAATTTCTAGTTGAACTATTGACTATTATTGAAAAATTTACATGAACTTAACTAATGAAAATATATGCCCTTCAAGCACATATGTGAATGGTGGGCAGCAACTGTTCTCTTAGACAAAGTTTGAGTCTAGATATCTTGTTCCCCAGGTTCCAATTGGCTCTCCCACCAACCTGTGACCTTGGATATGTCATTCTGAGGGTGGCTGGCTCCTTATCATCACTGTGTCTCCCATACCTTACCTAAAATCTGTCATACCAGAGGTAAAGAACAACTTTGGTTTCCTTAATGAAAATTCCCCAATCCTCCATTTCCACATTTGTTTAACTAGACCAGATGATCTGAAAAGATCCTTCCAGCACTTTTATTTAGTGGTTTACTGTCTTACATCCACAACTAAATGGAAACTCCTTGAGAGCAGGGTCTTCTCAGAGTGACCCTGGTATAATAGAAAGAGACCAGCTTTGATGCTGACTTATCAGTATTTGAATCTACTGCCACCACCTACTGCTTGTGTTGTCTGAAAGAAGGCACCTGATGGAGAAAATAATTTAATCTGCTTCATGAGGCCACTTGAGGATTAAATAAGACAAAGTCTGCAGAGTGTGAGGCATGGTGCCTGGCATATGGTCAGGGTTCCCTGTCCTGGGGTCTGGGGAGCCAGGGGCGAGTCTCTGCAGCACCATTCCATAGTGGCTGCATAGCTGGTATATGAGGGCTGGAGTGGAAGGTCTAACATATTCTCTCTTCCTTTTTTTTTTTTTTTTTTTTGGTGGTACTGGGGATTGAACCCACAGCCTCTTGCATGCTATGAAAAACCAGCCTCTACCTCAAAGCAAAGCCTGTCCAAGGAAGGGGGCGTGACCTTTGTCCTTGGAAAGACCCACAGAACACTCCTAGGCACTTACCCACCCTGATGAGTTGTTTATCTACAAATACCAGGAGAGATCTGCTGCGCCAGGTGTCCCTGACTCAGCCAGGCTAGGTGGGGATCCATAGCAACCCCCTAGCAGCCACCAATCAGCATTAGACAGGGAAATACCTGGGATGCCAGATGACCCTCCCAGTACTTTATAGTGGTTGACAACATGTTGGGAAACCATGTGGTTCAGCACAAACACCCCTCTTGGCTTAAACCAATCAGTTCAAACGAATCCCCCTCTTGTAGTAACTAATCACCCCTACCCCACCTGTTCCCGCCAGTGAATGTGCTAATCATGTTTTAGAGTTGTTTTATGATTTTCCCCCGGTGTGTGCTGATTTGCTAAGAGATGCTATGATGTATGTGAAGTCCCTGCCTTCCCCAGAGAATGCAGGGACTTCACATACATAAAACTGATGCAAACCCTGGGTTCGGGCCTCTCAGCGTCGCCAGTTGCTGTGTGTGCGCGCGGAGGACCGAGCTAGCTCGCAATCAACACCTCCTTGCTGCTTACATTGATCTTAGCCTCTGGTGGTCTTTTGGGGGTCCCAAATTCGAGCATAACAGCTAGGCAAGTGCTCTATCACCGAGCTACACCCGCAGCCTGCCTTCCTTTTTGGTTAGATTGTAGTCAGGAATTTTTAGCTCCCAGGTTTTGAGGAGACCACACCCAAGACCTCTCCAACCCCGGAAGCAGAAAGATAGATGTAGGTTCTCAACTCCCATTCCTTTCCTCTCTACAGGACTATTTCTTTGTGATTCCCCAACCTTTGGCCCAAGCCCCATGAAAGGGCTTCTGGAGTACAGGAAAGTAGGGCCTGGACCAAGGGAAAGAGATACAGAAGGAAGAGGGTATCCAGGGTCCTGTTGGAGCCAGGTACCGCAAGCATGAATAAAGGTGGGCACAAAAGAGGCAGGTAGGTGGATCTGGGACTTTGAAAACGATTGTCTTTTTCTCTTTTAGGAAATCAAAAGCTACTTCATGGAAGGCAGAGTTTGTGGGAATGCAAGAGAGCAAGGTGATTTTAAATATATGTGATAAACTCATCTAGGAGCAAGAGGTAGAGCCAGTTTTGGGAAGATTCAACTCTGGAAGGTCCTCTCTGGTCACTCCCTGTCCCATTGGGTGCTCAAAGCCTATACCTGGACTCTCACCCAGACCCAAACAAGATATCTGCCCCCACTCCCATTAGGTTTCTAGTGGGTGTCCCACAGCATCCTCTCTTAGCCCAGAGGCCACAGCCTCAGACTCGAGCTTTGTTTCCAGGACTTCTCTATATTTTGATTCTTCTCTGGGAGAGAAACAGGCCTACAACTTACCAACAAATTCTGGTGTCCCAAAAATGTTCTTAAATTCAACTCCATCTTCTATTTCGTGAGCCAGGCCAAAATCAATCAGCTTGATGTGTGGAATGGGAATATTCTTGTCTAATAACATAATGTTTTCTGGCTGGAGAACAAAAGAAAAGAGAGAGAGAGAAAGAGAACAAAAGAAAGAAAAACAAAAAAAGAAAAAAGAAGGAAGAAGAGATGGTGATTAAAGCCCTGTTTTTTGTTTTTGCTTTGGGGTTTGGGGTGGAGTTTGTTGTTCTTTTTTAGGAGACTAAAATAGCACAACTCTTGTTTTTGTGTCCTCAGTCTTCTGTGAGCTCAAAAACAGGCAGAGTGTTGAGGGTAAGGCCTGGGTTTTACCAAACCAGATGCCCATAGCAGACCAGAGAATTCAGCTTTAATTTCCTTCCTCTCTCTGAATGACAGATTCCTTTAATGCAGTGTCTCTGTTGCCCAATCTGTCAGAAAGGGTCAACAAGATGCTCGCAGCATTTCCTATAAACAAAGCCACCTCTGCTGCAAGTGCGATGGGGGCAGGGCAGCATGGCTTGGTGGTGGTTTATATTTGGCTTATTGACCTTGAGCTTCCTGACCACCTCTTTCCCTGGGGCCAGCCAGCTTCCTGTTGACAAGACTCCCCCCTCCCCCCAGACTAACTGTGCAGCCCATACTTCTCCATGTGTTTAACTAATTTTGGGTCTCAGCAGGTCACAGGATAAAATGCACCTGATTTCCAGGGAAAATACCAAGTGCCCCAGACTGTTTCCAGCCCTGCAAATATCTACCAGTCCAGACACAACAGTGCAGGCTGGTGAGCAGCCAGGCAGCCCTGCTGGGGCCCTGAATCACCCCTGGCTCCCAGTGACGCTAGAACAGGGTCCTAAATTCCACCCTTCTCACTCCCACCCTCGCCCTCAGACTAGGAACCAGTTGGGCAGGTCCCTCAGCTTCATCCTTTTTCTTCTCTTGCCCCACAACTGTCCTAAACTTCACTCAAACTGGAATGTCCTGAAAACATTCATCCATACAAAAATCTGTACACAAATGTTCATAGCAATATATTCCCAATAGCCCCAAAGTGGAAAATGTCCACCAACTAATAAATGGATAAACAAAATGTGATAAACACATACCACATATTGTATTCATGTAGGAATATTATTCAACCATAAAAATTAATTAAGTCAAATAAAAAGGAATAAAGTACTGATCCATACTTTCAAATATTATTCTAGGGCTGGGGCTACAGCTCAGTGGCAGCGCCCTTGCCTAGCATGTGTTAGGTGCTGGGTTCTATCCTTAACACCAAATAAAAATGAAATAGATAAAATAAAGGCATGCTGTCCATCTACAATTTCAATTTTTTTTAAAAAAAAAATTATTCTAAGTGAAAGAAAACAAACACAAAAGGTCACAAATCATAAAATTCTATTTATATGAAAAACAGAATAGGCAAATCCATAGAGAAAAAGTAGATCTGTAGTTGCCTGGGATAAGGGGGAATAAGCGGGTGAGGAGTGAATGTTAATGGGTATACATGGTTTCTTTTTGGGTGACGAAAATGTTCTTTAATCGTTCTATGAATGGTTGTGGTATTGATTATTACAACTTTGTAAACTGCCCATTTAGTGAGTGAATTGTATGGCATGTGACTGTTAAGTAAATAAATAAATGTTTAAGAAAATTGAACATCCCCGTTTCTCAAAGTACCATGGGATTTCCCACCTTGCACCTCTGCTCATACCATTCACCCTCCCTGAAGGCCTCTGTTCCATCTCCATTCACTGAATCCTGGCTGAGCTTCAAAGTCTAACTTAACCCTTCACCTTGAAGACCTTCATCACAGCCTGGGGCTCTCATACCCCCCTGAGGCCCCCACAACTCCACAGTGAACCCTCCCCTTCTGGCTTCTCTGCACTTCTTTGGATATGAAAAAAGTTTTTTTCATGACTTTTTGTTATGACATTTGGCAGGTCCCCTGCCAGTGGTCCTTTGCTGACTGCCTGGCTCCCCTAGCAGAGCTGTCCTCAGCTGGAGGGAGGATTCAGGACTGCATTGTCACTGTCCCCTCCCCCAGCTGTACTGATCCCTGACAGTGGCATACTGAGCCTGGCCCTACCTCTTAGCTGAACTCATATTGAATCTGGACCAGAGCCCACCCCTCACTCCCCAGGTGTCCCTATCTCCCTAAAGTCTCTGTGACCTTCTGTCACTGTGGCTGGAAACTTTCACTCAAGGGAGCCTGCTGAGGCCCTCCCCTGCATTTTTTTCCACCATGAAAAATAAATAAATAACACATTTCCTTTTGCATTTTTAAAACTTATTTATTCTTCCCCTCAGGAGATTACTCTCAACTTTATTTTGAAAATATGTCAAAGTCCTTTCCCAAGGCAGAGCAGATTCTTAGTCTATGCAGAAAGGAGAGAAGGGAGCCGGATTCAGTGGCACATGTCTCAGCAGCTCAGGAGGCTGAGGCAAGAGGATCGTGAGTTCAAAGCCAGCCTTAGCAAAAAAGTGAGGGGCTAGGCAACTCAATGAGACCCTGCCTCTACATAAAATACAAAATAGGGCTGGGGATGTGGCTCAGAGGTAGAGTGCCCCTGAGTTCAATCCCCAGAATCAAAGAAGGGGGGGGGGAGAGAAAAAAAAAACGGAAAGGAGAGAAGGGTGAGAGAGATCAGAGGACAGGACCCAGTTAGGTTCCCTGGGCTCAGCCCTACTGTGGTTGCCCAAGGAGCCCAAGTGCCCTGGTGCCCCCTGCAGTTAGCGGCACACTTCCAAGCAGATTGCTCCTCCTCCATTCACCTATATTTCTCAGGCACCTTGTTAGGAACTTGCCCTCCTGGGGAGAGGCCCTGAGACCTCTCTTAGGCTGAGGGGTCAGGACATAACCACCATAGCCCAAGGCCCTCACACTGTACGGGGATGGAAGCCACAGTGGACAAACACCCAGACCTGTTATCCCTGGGCCTGCAGAGCAGCAGGGATAAGGTGGAGGAGAAAAACTGAGGCGTCTCCAGGGCATTGACACCTATCTACAGCTCTGCCCTAAGGACCTAACATACAGCAAGTGACTTCTCCCCTGCTTGGAACACTTTTTTCCATCCTGGCCCCTCCCCAAACCTGGCTGATTTCTCTTCATATTTCAGTTAGATAGTTCCTCATCCAGAAGGCCTTTCCTGCTCTCCCCCTGCCCACCATCTCCCCAGTTCCCCCCAAACATCCTGTTCTTCCAAGCATTGTGCTTCTTACACTGCTGAGCTTGTCTGATTACTTATCTGTCTCCTTCCAATGGACTGCAAGCTTCCTAAGGGTTTTGTTCCTATCACCAGAGCTTGAGATAGGGCCCAGCAGCTACCAGGTGCTCAATAAATGCTTCCTGAGTAAGTAAAGGTGCCATTTATTAAGCCCCTGAAATATGCAGGACCTAGCATCAACCAAGTGCATGACATACTTTATACCTCATTCAACTCTCTCAACTGCCTCCTTGGGTGGGTGTTATTGTTCCTCATTTGTAGAAAAAGAAACCAAGATTGCAACACAAAGCTGGTAGATGCAAGATTGCAATGTTTATCTATCAGACCCCAACCTTGTACTTCTACCCAACAAATGATCCCCCTTCCCATTCTCAAGGATCTTATGACTTTATCCTAGAGAGGTGGGCAGGCCATTTGAGCTGAGCAACCCAGTAGGCTTGTGGCTGGAGCAGGTGCCAGAGTGCCTTGTCTTCTGATGATACTTCCCTGCAGGTAAGTGGCCCCCAGGCTAAATCCCTGGCCTGGCACTCACAAGACTCGGGAGCTCTTGACCTGGATATTTCAGATGAGAAGACAGAGGTCTTGCAGGAGAGGACCCAAGCTGGGTCTGGATAAGTGAACACTGCCTGGGGATTTCAGCTGGGGAAGCGGCCAGCTGGGGCAGCAGGAATGCTCTGTTGGATGGTCAGGACTGGGGATTTTATCCCTGCCTCATGGCTTACTCATCAGACCACTCAGACCTGCACACTCAGACCTGCCCTGACAGGGAACATATAGAGGCCATGAGCTCTTTGCCACCAAATAATGCTCTGCTTCCTTCCCAGGTCACCAAGGGGGTTCCAGGCTGGCCAGGGGACTTGGACCACCATGTCTGTGGCTCCTCCTGCTTTCAGAAAGACTTTCCTTCTTGCTATCCCAACCTCTACTAGTAGCTTGATAATACCCAGGAGGCTGAGCAGGAACTAAAATTTACCACACATTTACCAAAGCATGCTTCATGCCAGAGCTCTATGTGATCCTTGCAACCTCCCTGAATGAAAGGTTCTATTCACATCCCTATTTCAAAGAAGCCCAGGGAGATAAATGACTTGCTCAATGTCCCATAGCTCATGATGGCAGAGCCAGGAGAGCTTCCCTGGCAGTCTATGCCCTATTCTCCCACAACATCACCTAGCCTGGTGAATTATCTTCAGTGGTGTCACTGACTACCAGAGAATGTGCCTGATATCTGAGGCTCACAGTTCTGCACTGGCCCCCTCAGGCTTCCCTTCCAGCCTCATGGTCCACCCCTGGCTATGTACCTACTATCAGGACGACCTCTCAATTCCAGCCTCTGCTCTTCTTGCCTGGAATGCCTTTCCTACTGCTCCTCACACTTCCAGTCAATGCCTTAGGACTCCTGCCTCCTTTTACTTTCTTGTAGTTTCAGGGACGCTTCCCCTGATCATGTGTTCTAATCCCTTCAGAGCCAACACTTGCTGGCAGAGCTAAGCCATAGGACTCTCATCTGTGAGGCTACTTTCCTAGTTGGTGACTTTTTCCTTGGGGAAATTCAATTCGGTTTTAAAGTTCCTGGCATTGCCTATGTTGTCTTGCATGCTGCATGTTATTAATATTGCAGAAATGAATTGAAAGAAGCAGGCTATGTAGCTCCTTCTTTCCTGCCCTGTGGAGGCCTTTAACCACCACTAGGGGCGCCAGAGCACACTCCTCCCCTTGGTGAGGTTACAGGGTTGGTCAGGAAGGCATTGGACTAAGGGAGAGTCTGAAAGGTAGCCCAAGGACAAGCAAAGTAGCACTTCCCCCAGGGTTTGGTCTAAGACTTCCCACTATTCCAACATAGTAGAGTGATGGAAAGAGC